ATATCCATAAGTTCTAAAATTTTAAAATTGTCACCGATGTTCACTATCTATCTAATACTATTAATTAAAAAAATTATCACTTTGTTGGTGAATGTCAATTTTCAAGGTCATCGCCAAATTCACTCAGCACCCTTAATTACTCACTATTCGTTGGTGATCAAATGTTGGAGGGAATATAGACGATTCCCTATTTGTATCCTCCACTATGTGCTCCACTTCCTGTTCATTTATTCGGAATTAGTAAAAAAAATAACGTCCATTCCCTGTCACTCCGCACTCACCTAGAACTGATAAATTTTCCCAGACTAAATTCCCAGTGACTTCTTGACTCCCTAAGACGACCATAATATCCGCATAATAGCGAATTGTTAGCTGGGGATTATCCCCGGATTACTTCTTCCCGGCAGAAGTGCCCGTCCTAAACGTCCAAAAAGATGTCTTGTCAATCATGAGAAAAAAAAGTTTCACGGTACAAGTCACAACACTGCAACGGGTGGTCCTGTGAAGAGACACTGGGACTATTTTCGCTATTCATGGATCCTCAATGCAACTGTTTGAAGGTCCAGTACGCACGCCCAAGAAGTGACCTAAGGACGAGATACATATAGTTGTCCAAAATATGCGGTTTTCAGGTAGATGGAGAAGAAAGGCATCATTGAGGGCGGATGTCGAAGCAAGGAATCACGAAAATTTAAACGTTTCTTTCATAAATTGTTGGGTACCACAAGTCAAAGTGGAAATATTGAACGGTTGTAGTAATTTTTTGATTCAGAAATGAAAGATTCTCCATTGAAATGAAGATTATTGAAAGACAAGTGCTTCGAGGAATTGACACTTGTTGGGTACTATAATTTCCGAAATATAGAAAATTGTATTCAATTTTTATTCCATTAAGTTAAGAAAAAAATCGTTTCTCTCTTTAATTAACTTCATTTAAGTATTTATTCGGAAAGTTCAGTGGATGGGAAAAGTTAAAGATGTACCTTAGACTGAATGAAATATTCGAAATAGTTCTTTAGACCATCGAGACCAGTGTTTCATACGTACAGGCATGTGGACGTTTGATGGTGGTTTGAGGTTTGCCCGGTTAGAATGACAACGCAGGTGCCTCATCCTACGTCAAAAATCCGGGAGAGATTGTCAAAAACTCAGCGTGGAGCCTCTCATAAGACAGACGTAGAAAGATACACCCGTGACTAAAATACCTTCGAAGGACAAGATGATCACCTGGGCAATTGTTTAAGGGGATAAGTGACTTATTTGAGCAATTACACGGGCCATCGATTAAGACGTTTAGCCTCTACCTGACTGTTGAATACACCAAAACGATACTTTGATGTTTTTGAATTTTTTTGATGAATTATAGCGCAGGGCTAAAAATAACTTCATGAACCGGAAACACGAATTTTGTTTCCGAAGAAATGTTGAAATATCTCGATAACTATTGAGAAGTCATCGAGATATTTCGCGTGAGGAATTGAGAAATATTTTTATGAGGGATAAAATGATTCTTTACTCATGTCTCTACGACTGACAATTCTTGAAATGTCATGATTTGTTTAAGTTAATAGCTTGAAAACCATTCCATTTTTTAACAAATTTTCCAATCTTTGTCACACTGAATGTATTGGTAATTTCTCAATAGTTTTTGAGATATTTCAATTGACAGTTGGACATTATATCGAGAGCACCTTCACTCAAGAGTGTATGCGTTAGTGCATGTCCAACTGCACGCGGAGAGAAAACACGTGATAATCCTGTGCGAGTCCCTTCAAAAATTATTGTGCTAGCCACTAGTCTTCGGACCAAACAGAGATCACCAACAAATTCGGACGGTCCACAAGGAAATTCGGATGTCGTACTCTAATTTCTAAAAATCTTACGCTGTACTTTTCCGTGGGATTCTTTTAAAATTCGGGTGACACGTTCGAATTTTTTGGTAACCATGGTTTGGTCCCATGGATTGGTGCACACTAGTTTTTGCTAGAATTTTCTTTCTGTGCGTGAATATCGTATTCACTTCTAGCGCAATGGCCGACTGCACAACTTCCTTTAACTTTTTGTAACAAAATTCTTCGACTGTGCAACATATTCCATCGTCATAATGAAAAGTTGCTCACACGGAGAGAAATATTCAATAAAAATTACGTATCTGTTCCGTAATTCCGGAGCGAAATGTGGTTGTAGGAAATTTTGCGGAACTGATGTCACGGAATTTTTCCAGAGCGTTCCGTAATTTTTACCTGAATCTCCTGTGAAAGAATACGATACCGTCACTTAAATTTTCTGAGTCAATTCCATAATCGGTCAGCGAACTATGAGTTCCGTAATTTTTACTGAACATTTCTCTCCGCGCAATAGGCCCCTTAAACCTTATTTCTGAAATTCATTATTTAATGTTACTTTTAATCCGTATTTCTGGCCCTTATTTCCGACGCTGATTTCTGAGCCTTACATCTGACTTTAATTTTTGAACATTACTTCTGACCCCCATTGTTACGATCTCGATAAGGGAAAGTTATTGGAATCACTCCGAAAAATAGATCTTCGGTTCTTCGGCAAACATTGCACGGTCTCATTTTCAGTCATTTCCAGAAACATGTATCTGTGTGTGTGTATGCGTGTTTGGTTCATAATTTTTCACGAACCGTTGTTCACCGAAAATTGTTCGATGTCGCGATTAATAATTCTTCACGTGGGTTAGTACACTGATAGAACGGATTAGTTATTGTTAGCGAATGGATTTTGGTTGGAGGTTAGGGTCTATTCGGTCCAACCAAATGTTCATTTGTTAATAGTTAACGAATGTATATTTGAGGAGCCGTGTTTGACTTGACTTTCGCCATTCAAGTGAACCATTCGTTAACTATTAACGAATATTCATTTGGTCATATTCAACTCTACCATTCGTTAATAGTTAACGAATCTCGTTGGGAATAAATGAATCATTCTATCAGTGTATGGATTCGATTTTAGTCGATATCGATCGAGCGATTCTTCAGTTTTTGCTTCTGAATGGAAGCTGTGTAATCGCTCAAATTAAAGTTTTCAATTTTTTGTGATACGGTAACGAAATATGGTCTACAAAGTCCAAATAAGCGATTCTTAGATGGTGTCTGTAAAATCAATTTTTCAACGATCAGTCAAAAAATTGTCACCAAAATGGAATTAGTCATGGCTCAAAAAATTGATAACAATACCCTCTTGATTCTATCAGAATATGATGAGGGTCGCACAAATCGTTGTTGAGTTACAGTAAATTGTTTATGTGATTTGAAAGAGAAAATCAGTTTTTTCATGATTACTGAAAGAATAATCAGCTATAATACCCCAAGATTTTCAAAATTATCGGATATTTCTCGAATGATTTGATGCGCATGGCGTGCGTAAAGTGAATTCTCGTGCGTAAAGCTTTGCTTTTACCCTCACTACCACATTACACCCACTACCGTTACGAACAGTGAACTCGGCAAGTACCACAAAAAATTAGATTTTCTATACGTGCGTGTTCAAAAGTGGAACCTTACGCACTAGTAACACAATATACTATTTAGTAATGCCGCCAGATGCGAGAGAAACGAGACGAGACGAGTCATTCGAGACAATGACAGAAACGAGACGAGACGAGAAAAGCCGATCGAGAACGAGAGAAACGAGAGGCGAGGCGAGAGTCGAGAGACCTCCCCCTCTCTGCCCTTTTGTGTATTTTTTTTTCGTGCAAATTGGATTATAGAGACGAGATCAGGCGAGACGAGACTAGACGAGAAACGACATGTTCTCGTCTCGTCTTGTCTCGCGGCATCACTGATACTATTACCCACTTGTATCGAAATATACTATTTGGGAATTATGAATTAATTTTTCCTGGTTGCACTCAATCACTCAACTGGAGTGTGTTCGTACTACTGTAATATTACGCTAACTGCTTTTTTAATTGCGTGAATTGACGGAATAACAAAATAAAAAAGACAGGTGCGTCACACCAAAAACGGCCAAAATTCCCCTCTTCTGGATCCTGCAAGGCCACCAACCGATAAGTGTCAACTGCACCGTGTCAGATAAAAATGAAGGAAAAAACCGACGAAAAACAAAAAATGAAAAAAAAAACTCGAAATATATATACAATCAAGAACCGATCCATCAAGGCCTTAGTCCGACGGTAGGCGAGGATACCCCAGCAATTGGCGAATGAGCCCGCCCATTTCTCTGATCAACTCCGCTGGATTGGTTGAGTAAAGGACCGATCCCACCCATCTAACTGTTCACATACTGCGCAGGTATGGAAAAAAGTGGGGGCTGCCCGCCAAGGTCCTGCCCTGATATCGCCTGGGAACACCACGCTGGTAACCCCCGAAAGCTCTTACCTGCGTGCGTCGAACGACAGTCAGCTTCAGGATACCGAAGCGATTGTACCCAGTGATACAATGTGCACAATTTTCCCCATCTAAACAACAAAAGATCATTTATTGCTGGAATTATCCCGAAGTTCCTTAATTCTCTCAAATTACCCCAATCGAGCAATAAATTTCAAGTGGATAAGTGTCCGTGCTGCGAAAACATGTGAATAACAAAGAAATTAGAGGTGATGTCAAGTAACATTATCAGTTAATGTGTTTGACCCTTATGATGCTGAAGACATTAAAAGGGTTCTGTGATTGAATTTGTAAAAACTAATTATTCCTAAATCTATCAAAATTCTCCAGATATTCGTGTAAATGTGCCTGACTTTCATGTGTAAGTGTTGACATACTACCATTCTCCACCAAATTGCACTCGAATCGATTTGAGATACTCGATCTCGATCGAACCCGAAATAAGACTGACCAATCGCTCCCATTGTTCACAGATTTTCGGCGGGAAATTCAAATTCACTTAATTTAAAATGCTGACAACACGCCTCATTCGATCTCGTTGACTAAATTGGTCTCGTTCAGAAACAAATCTACAAAAAAGAAACGTTGAAACAGAAAGATTATTAATGTTCCTACCTGGCCGTGAGGATGATGATGATGGATATGGGTATGTATGGTAGCTATGGTAAACCAGACTCATACTACAGTTTACATACGAGTCATCAGATACCGCAACCGGGAGTGCAGTCGTCAGAATTGGCGAATCCGTACTATCCGCAAGCCTCAATATCTCCATATGTCAATACCCCGGACATTTATATAACGCCTGAGTCAGGCTCGAGTGGTTCAGGCGTGTCAGGCACTCCACCCCAAGGTTATTACTCGACCTCAGCTGGTCCCGGCCTGCACGACGACGGAACCGCGATCATCTCATCAGAGAATGGCCTCAGTTATACAAATTTGGATTATGCGAATTATTCGTCAAGTTGTTCGAACGCTGACCAGCATCACCAGGGATACCACCACATCCAGCACTTGCCAGCCCAACAGCTCCATTCTAGTCACCACACTGAGGATTATCAAATCAGCCATCACTCGGTCCAGTCAACGACCGGTAATTATCACCATCAGGTGCCCCAGGATGACATTAGATACAGTCAATCGCACGGTATTAGACAAGAGTACCAGACGATTAATTATAAGGAGGAGAGCGCTGACAGCGCTGGTTATCACAGTTGTTTGCAGCAGACTGCTGTGCACGGTGTACCTAGTCATCATCATCAGGGGCATCAGACTATGCCTCATGTTCAGGGCCATCAACAACCGGCGCAAGTGCCTACGTACAAGTGGATGCAGGTCAAGAGGAATGTTCCTAAACCGCCTGGTGGGTAGTCCTTTTAGATCAATTTGTATCTTAATTAATGATTTTTCAACCGCTTCCAATTACCAAATAAAACTCCTTCCATGATAGATTTAACCCTAAATTGGTCACTCTATGAGGCAAACCCCGCAGTGCATCGTTTTTCTTTAATTACAATTGACTGGCTAACCGGGATAATTCAAAAAAATTTGACTTTGTCAATTGAAGTGTCCAAAAAATTATAGTAGTTAAAAAAAAAAAATTTCGCAAAATTCCTGAAGAAAACAAATCATTTCAGATTGATAAATTATTTTTTCCCGTGTTAAATGAAATTGGCCATGACGCGACGTTGCCGGAAACTCGCTAAACTCGCCCGGGCAGTGTAGAGTGAATTCGGCAACGCTAAAGCCTAAATAACACGGCGGGGAATCCCCGTGAAGGCGACCACAGTCGCAAGGTCGCGTTTGGTGACCAGAATAAGGTTAAATTCTTGGTTGGTGAAGATGGATGTTTTAATATAAATGGAACATATTAGGTAAGGTGATATTGTATTTTGTTGATTATTGAAGATTAATACATTTGGCTTTGAGGAGGGGTGCTTTCCGTACTCGAAATATTGGCTAGTAGTTTTCAATTAAATGGTGTTAGTTATTGCTGGATATGACCGCAGAATGGCCCATGGAAGGAGTTTTATTTGAATTTATATCTGTTAGCTAGATCTTGTTCAGATGATGTAGAGGGCGCTGCAGACAATGTCGGTTCTAACCTCATTCATATTCCACGTTTAACCCCGCGTTACTCTCGTGAAACTGCCCGACGTGGTTACTCACATCGCGGCGCGGGGCTGTAATGTAAATCTCAGCGCGCTGTTGCCACAATCGATTCGGAGAGTGGATCGATGATCTCCCGACAGCCCCGGCAGTCACAAGTGTGGCAACACCGTGTGAAATATTTCCATGGCACGATCAATCGCGTCGCGGCACAACGCCGTATTTGTTAATTTCCAGTTAGCATACGAGTGAATTTTCTCTGATCAGGAGTTTTGGCCGCGGTTAGAAAAGGCAGAATATGCTTTGAGATAAAATCAGTGAGGCATACAAATTTTCGCATAATTTTTAATGAGTTTTTTCGGAAGATATTCGGAAAAATAGAATTTCGCCAGCGCGGTGCCGTGGACGTGAGTAACGAAGGGTTAATAGACTTGAACTAATACTTGAATACAAAACTTGTTTGCCATTTTTATACGAACGATACAGGAACGCATTGGCTATAAATTAGCACACTGTTTTCATCTTTTGTAAACCATATTTGAGTTTTTTTTCCATAAAGAGTAAATAAATAGTGCATACTTTTCATCAAAACATCAATTGAAGAACTTCTTAATGAGCTGCGATGAGAATCAGCAGTCTACCTGTAATTTGATGTACTATTTTCATCGAATTTACGCCTCAAAAAAATCCAATTATTATTGTGATGACGTGAGACAGATAACCAGAAGCGTTTCATGTGCAGCGAGTTATACGGAGAGTATTTTGTGGTTGCGTTCACCTACTGCGCCACCTTGCGATGGCGTCACTGTACCCGGGTTACCATAACCTTTCTGAAAGCTGATGTCGGATCAGTCGGACTGGGGAAAGACCATTTGCTATTAAATTGAAATTTTCTCCAATTCAAGACGCTTTATCTAAAGCGGATTTGGTAGCTGCGCATATTCTCCGCCGTCGCGCGTTGATACCCCTAATCATAATACTCATCAAAGGCGATGCCTCCTACTGATTAAAAGGTAAATCCCGAAGAGCGGTGATAAAATTTTTATTTTAGAAAGCAATCTAATGAGGAACTTTTTGCTAAACTCATGTTTATATTTACTCTCTGTGGGATTGGAAATATTGGACGAGTAACTACTGCGTTGCATGCGTGGATTAAGATAATTTCGGTCTTCTTCCTCAATTATTAATCGTTATTCTTCCACGCCTCATTTGAATTTTTCGTGATTATGAGGAGTGGAGACTTGAGGAACTGGCGCCAGTCGTCCGTCGAATCCGTTGAATCTACGAGGACCAGAGGTAGACGTGAACGCGTTAAGTCAATTAAAACGTTAAACGCGGCCAAGCGGACTCGGGCCTCGTTATCTCGACAGGCTCGCTTCCACATAGTTTTATGGTCCAATCGTTAGAGTCACCTGGATGACACATCAACCGGACCGCAAACTTAAATAATATAATATTTTTGTTATAATTCGAATAATGAACTGCGTTCTTCACTACGTTAAAAATAATATTGTCTGAACAAATTATTGTCCAAAAGGGCTTCATTGTGGGGAAAGGGTAGTTAGTTATTTAACAAAAATTATCACTCGGAAAAGTAAATATTACTGCAATTTTTTAAATAAATAATTAGAAAAACCGTTGTAGATAGATGAGTTCCACCTTGAAAAATTTGAAAAAAATATATGTTGTGGTAAATATTGTTGAGAAAGCTGTGTCAAAATTTAGTTTGATGACATTGGCTGATGGTGAAGATATTAATTTTTTTATGAACTTCAAGCGCTCTCAATCCGCTAAAACTTTGAAGAACCGTAGCTTACTCAATTATTTCATATTAAAGTATATTTTTTGTCGTTATAAAAAAATGAATAAACATGAGAACTTTTGTTTTTTCTGATGTATGGGTCATTCATTCAGCCAATAAGAAGTCCTATATAATGTGTAGGTATCCTTTTCGGGATTACTAAGTTACATACCGAGAAAACAAACAGCTCCTCAGAGCTCCCATGGAATTCGCGGAATGACAGCGGATCTTTCACGAGCTAGCTAATGTCATTAAACAAAAATTCGACACAGCTTTCTTAACAATATTTTCCACAAGATTGATTTTTTTCATATTTTTCAAAGTGGAACTCACGAAACTACAACCAGCTTTCGAATTGTTTATTTAAAAATTAATAGTAATATTTACTTTTTTCGATCATTTTTTTTTACATAACTAATCATCATTTCCCAACAATAAAGCCCTGAAATGTTTCGATTAAATGCATAACTTATTGAGATATAAATATTCAAAAGCATGTCGATTCGTTCCTCAGTGGAATTTTACAATTGTTATAATAAAAAAACAAAACAATTGGGCTGTAAATAGTATCTCTAGTCCTCCTTCTGTGATACATGCAATTTAAAATAAAATTTTTTTTGCCCCCGTTGAAATAGTGTGGAATGCCCCATAGAGGATATTGATTGATTTTTTCTGTAAACGTAAAAATTGAATACCAAAAATATTCAATAATTCTAATTTTTCGAGAGGAAAATTCTGCAGGAAAATGAATTTATTGGGCGGAGCAAATTCCACACAACCGGCGCTTACATTCATGCCAGAAGATTTTAATCCCCCTGATCTCTTCCGGGATTGGACGATACATCTGTCTCTTTCTTCCCTCGTTCAATGCTGCATGTGGATGAGAGACTGCCGTGTCGTGTCGTCTCTTGGGTACAGAGCGAGGGGAAACTGTAACGTCCAACCCCTCGCTGTCAAGCATCCCCGGGCACAATCTATCATACACCAAACTCGATTTCATTTTTTTTCTCGTTGTTCAATGATTGGACCAGCCCCCGGAATTTTCCATATAAAGTAACAATATGAGAGATATGTTTGTGTGCCGTATCTCACGTTTAGGTGCTAGTCAAAAATGAGATTATTGAATTTTCCGAGCATTTTTTTCTAAAGAAACGGATGCGTTGTATTTTTCCAGATAAAAACTCATTTTTAGTCCTTAGACTGATAGAACGGATTAGTTATTGTTAACGAATGGATTTTGGTTGGAGGTTAGAGTCTATTCGGTCCCACCAAATGTTCATTCGTTAATAGTTAACGAATGTATATTTGAGGAGCCTTGTTTGATTTGACTTTCGCCATTCAAGTGAACCATTCGTTAACTATTAACGAATATTCATTTGGTCATATTCAACTCGACCATTCGTTAATAGTTAACGAATCTCGTTTGGAATAAATGAATCATTCTATCAGTGTATTATACAAGTTTGGGATCTTCGAAAAATAATCTAACATTCAGAATGCAATCAAGGCTGTATATAAGATACCTTAAGGACAGTAGGAGAGTGGAATTCCGGAAATGCGTACACCCCTACGCCCTGCGCACGCTTATAGACAGGAGAAAAATAAGGAGCAGCGGTTTGAAATAAGATACTTTGCTCGTTGCGCCCGAACCCTATGGAATTTTTATTTTTACCGAATGGATGTTAATAACTAATCAATGTTTACGAGTTTAACCCTCCAGTGGTCGCGCTATGGTTTGAACGCCGCCGTTTTGTTATTTTCACGATATCTAGAAATGTGATGAATTACGCTCTGCCTATTTACGAGTTCCTCAAATGATATGTCCTGATGAAATTTAACACGGTAGGGTTGCATTGCACTGACAATTTTTTTCTCAATTAATTTTTTTGTCGAGCGCGGTTACCGAGAATAAACGCGGTGCTCACCATGTGACCACTCTCGTAGTGGAAATTTGACGGACGTTGTTGCCGATCCTCGTGGTAGTCCCAAGCAACGTATGCAGAGTGGGGGGTCGCTGGCCGGTGATATGTTTATAGTGTCGTATGGCTCTGGCAACGCTGCGCTCGAGAATGTACGGACGGCGCAGCGCTTACTACGCGATCAACGACGTTCGGCGAAGACGTTCGACTACAGGAGGGTTAGCCCTAGATTGGTCACCCTATGAGGGAAATCCCGCCACGCATCGTTTTTCTTTAATTATAATTAACTGGCTAACCAGAAAAATTCAAAAAATTTTGACTTTGCGCGGAGAGAAATGTTCAGCAAAAATTACGGAACTCATAGTTCGCTCACCGAGTACGGAATCGGCTCAGAAAATTTAAGTGACGGTATCGTAATTTCAGATAAAAAATTTCAGATAAAAATTACGGAACGCTCCGGAAAAATTCCGGGACAGTTTCGTAAAATTTCCTATAACCACATTTCGCTCTGGAATTACGGAAAAGATTCGTAAT